GAAAATGAAAATGAAAATGCTGAACGAACGCAATCGAAATTAAATGACTTTTGCTTATTGTGTAATCAAGAATTACTACAAAATAAACTACAATTGAGTCGCATTTACATTTCATTGAATAAATTGCAACAAAATACACACACAAACACACACACACACACAGGCACACTCTGAGGCGCTTGAATACTATAAATGCTATAACAATTTCCATTTGAACTCCCTTTACGCCCCCTTTCTAGCTGCTCAAGAGAGTTGCGCTCCCCAGTTTTCATCTCGAAAAGTTCGACTGACTGAAGAAATCACATAAAAATACCAAGAGAGGGAGAGAGAGAGGAAGGAGATAGAACGAGAGAGAGAGAGAGAGAGTGGGAGATACTTAACATATGTGCGTGTGTTTTGGCTGTCTGGCAGACAAACATTTTGTGACTTTACGCAAATTGTTTTTCCAAAAGCCAAAAAGGGAAATTTTGGAAAATTTGTGCCACAAAATGAATTGTTGTTGCCATTTGGCACTCAACTTCTATAGCTCGTGGCTGTTTCTGTTTTAGTTTAGGTTTCAGCTTACTTTTTCTTCTTCTTTTATTTGGCAATTCGCTGTGGCAATTGAGTCTACTTATTATTGGCATTATCACCTGTCTCTTGGCAGACTTAGCTGGCTAAAAATAGCCCAACCGTCTCACAATAAAACCAAATAAAAAATGCAAATTACGCCCGATGCTCGTTCAAGCGAAAATGGCGTTGAAATTGAAAAGCCAAAATGGCTGCGACTAGCGCATAGCGCTATGAATACAGATACACAGAGGCACACACATACATACTTGTATATAGCCAAATATCTATCGAAATGCGTATTGGCTGTGCGTAGTATGATACAGCTTAGCTTGACTATAATAAACGTGTGCATGAACGTGAGTGAAATGGGCAAGAAAATTAGTTTAATAGGTTTCAGTTTAGGATATTACAAATTGTTGTTACTAGTTTGTTATCGATAACTTGTGCACAACTTTAATAAATAAAGAAAATGACAGCATTCTTTATAGAAATAGATGTCTCACCTTTCTTTATAAAAGCATTCATAATTTATTTTTATAAGTCTTTTGTATATAAATATAAGAATCAGTAAACTGTTATCGATAACTTTTCAAAATTTTGACTTAGAAAATTTGTGCTAAGTTTGAGCAATCAAATTTGTGTATTCTTGGTAGTATACAAGTTTTCTGAACATATTGTATTTTCTGAATATATAGTATATTCAATACAAGTTTCCGAAATGGTATCAAAAGCTTGAAGAAAATTTCAATGAATAATGCCAATTCGTCGTTTTGTCCAAAAGCGCTTTTAGAATTTAGCATTCAATTTTTTCAGGTTATAAAAATGCTAGTCAGTACGTCATACTACATTCAGACTGTATTCCAGCTCAAGAGAATTATTTAAGTTTAATAGTATTTATAGACATTAAATCCTATAAACTTATCGAAGCATTTTTACTTTTACTAAACGGATTGTCCAGAAAGAGGTAGACAGAGAAAGAGGGAGAGAGAGAGAAGGAGGGAGAGTGAAATATCCAGCAAGTAGTCTATCATAGTGCAGTCCCACCGTAGCCATTTGCCATTTTCCATTTGGAGAGCATTGTATAAAATGCCCACGCAGCAGCAAAAGTCAAGTGTCCATAACGAAGTCCAGTTAAAACTTGGCCAAAAACCCGAAAAAGGAACCTTGGTTTACACGATTTCGAGTGGTACACTCAGCTTCTGTTTCGCTTCTCTTTCCTATTTTTTTTTTTTTTTTTAAATTGCAGCGCCCGCAACTTTGGAGGCTCATAAAATATGTACGCAGAGCATAGCGTGGACTGTTGCGAACTCTGCTCCTGGATGGTTAACGCCGAGAAAAAGGGGGCAAAAAGGTAGCGTAAATTGCTGAAATATGCATGCGACAGTGGAGCCTGGGGCAGGGGAGCCCGCAGTAAATGGAGAGTAAGGGCTGCCATTGCCATTCCATTATCAAGGCATTGGCGTTGGTCCAGCCCGTGCTCGGCCATAGAAAACTACGTGTCAGGCATGCGAAAGCTGGTAAAAAAAAAAAAAAAAATTGAGAGAAGAGTGGAGAATATAACACACTTTAGCTTGGCTGCGAACAATGCGTGCGGCATTGGACTTTGGTCAATTGGACATTTTGGTTCGCTTTGGCATTGGATGTTGTGGTTTTTTGGAAATTGCACGCATTTGATTGCGTTATTGAAATCGACTGTGGCTTCATTACTATAATGCTATGCGATGGGCGGGGTTGGACGCCCGCATTAAGGAATTCAATTATAAATGCCAGCACAGCACAGCGGAGCCCACCGCAGCAGCCCAAGCTCTCTCACTCTCTCTGTCTCTCTCTCTTTATCTACAAACCCCCACAGCTTTTTGCCTGTTTTGGGGCCTAGCTTATGAATATAAATCTGTTACCTGTGTGTGTGTGTGTGTGTGTTGGTTGGTGAGAGCTCAGTTTTGTCTGGGCGGGTCCACACAATTTAGTTTAATTGCCACGTGGGGTTTGGTAGTGCTCAAGACCCTAGTTGAGTGCCACAAAATGGCAGCTAGTGGGCCTGGGATTTGAGATTAGTCGGCAGCAGTTGATAAATGTTGACTTTATGCCTATTGGCTGTTTGCTTTGCTTTTTGAGGGGGGAATGAGCCCACGGGCCCTCGACACTGTTGCTTTTAATTAACGACTGTTGCTTAAGTGCTTTCTAATCCATTTAAATTGAAAGCTATTTAAATTAGGTTTCAAATTAACGTTTTTTATAATCAACTGTTATAATCATCGTTAAAAGGTGCGGGTATAGCCGTTTGGCGACATTATAAGCGTTACAGCTAATATTAGTATCAATAACAAAGTGACTTACAAATGGGAAATTCATTCTTAATCAGAATTCCATTAAACTGATATTCAAATCTAAATATATGTTTGCATATACATATAATAATATATTGTAAAATTCAAATTGTTGACCGTTTCAGGCGGTAATCATCGATGAATATCGCAGAAAGTGATCAACATATGCACCTTCATTATTGATGTGGCAACGCTTTCGCCAAAATGTATATGTGTTGCTATCGATATTGCTTAACCGTTTCGCTTGGGAGCAACAGCTGTTCTGTGCTATTTGGACCATCGCTAAGTAAGAAACTTTGTTCTCGCTAACTCAAATCAATTGGATTCTTAATTGATAAGAAAAAAAAAATAGTCAAGTAAGTACAGATACATATAATTGATTATCTAATTTGTTTGTGCTCAATCAATACTTTTTTCTACTTTAACGACAGCAACAAAAATGGCCTTCAGACGCTGCCACCTGAATCCAAAGAAGACTTTGTTTCTGCTCTGCGATATACAGGAGAAATTTCGGCCCAGCATGCCGCTCTTCGACAATATGGTCAAGAACGTAGATAAGCTGGTAAGTTGTGAACTTTGTAACCAAATGCGTTATCGATAATCGATTGTTTTTACAGACAAAGGCTGGCAAAGTTTTGGATGTGCCTTTGGTTGTAACGGAACACTATCCCGAGAAGCTGGGCAAAACGGTGGCCCAGGTGGATATATCCCATGCAAAGGCTGTGATGAGCAAGACCTACTTTAGCATGATGACGCCGCAGGTGAAGAGCGTCATCAAGGACATCTTTGGCGAGAAGCCACAGGATGTGGTGCTCTATGGACTGGAGGTAGTTACTATTACTGCTATTGTCGAAGAGTAACTGAATCTCCTGCCTCTTTTAGTCTCACATATGCATAGAGCAAACGGCAATTGATCTGCGGGAGCAGGACATCAATGTCTACATTGTGGCCGATTGCTGTTGCTCGCGCCTCAATCAGGATCGCGATTTGGCTCTGGAGCGCCTGAGGCAGGCGGGCTGCATAATCACCACCAGCGAGAGCGTAATATTTGACCTGGTGCGCGATAAGAACAATCCAAAGTTCAATGATGTGCGCAAGCTGGTGAATCCCACATCGCAGGACATGGAGCTGGCGCGCAATCCTGCCAAGCTATAGAACAGCTTTTGTTATATATTACTTGTTTTTCGCATTTAAAGTAGACTGAATTCCGTGATGTCATTTTGAAATGTTAACTGAGATGTCAAGAAAGGTGACAAAGGTGTAACAATATAATGAGTGTTATAATTGAGATGTACAGAATTTACTTGAGGAATCCAGGTGGGTAAGTCTAACAATAAGCTGTTTACTTTAATGATCTGAAGTGAATGGGATATTTCCCAAGCAAGCAGCATGGAAAACCAGTAGCTGACATAGCTATAAGTTCTATAAAATGATCTTTTCTATAGGAGTTCTTAAGGAGTTCTTAGGAGTTATTCACTTCCTACCTCTTTAATAGTAAAGGATGTGCCCTATAAATAAGGTGTATGGAATATATATACTATGGGCAACAAATTGGAAAGGAAATCCAGAAACTCTGGAGGATCTCGAACGTCCTAGTCAAGCCGATTGAAACCCCATTAAGTTCTGTCTAGTTACATGAATTTCGAGTAAGTCCTTTTAAGTGCCGATCTGGCATGGCAATTGCCAGGATCTGAATGTGCTGTATGGCCCATTGAAATGCCTTTGGTCTGTTGTATGTGGCTGTGAATGGACTTTTAGATATTCCATTAAGTTGTCGTTTCCGGAACATGTTTTCGAATGGCTTCCATTCAGATCGAACAATGGACTCGTCGCATTTAAATATAACATTTACAATGGCCATCCCTTCCGGCTATCGTCTGCTCCACCCACCCAGCGCAGCATGACAATGCGTATTTTATGGACCTGGCGAAAGAGTTGGGACTGGGCCACGTGCCGTGCCGCGCCACAGCCCCCACTTTGGATAGAAATTTGTGGAAAATCTTGCGTCGTAAAGTTTTATTTTTATGCCCAACTGATGAAAGGACGCAACCAATTGCAATTGAAATATCGTTGAGTGTGTGTGTATGTGTGTGTGTGTCTGGGACAGAGCGACATGGCGAGTGGCTAATGCCTAATGTCTGCCGTGTTTTGGCTGCGGGCGTGGGCGCACCTTCTGCTCCTCCTTGGGCGGATGCGCCTCGATGTAGGCCAGCGCCTTGAGTATGGCTTCGGGTGTGGGCGGCGGCGTGGGCAGCGAGTCGCCATGTGGATGATATCCGTTCTCGTCGGCTGTGTAGGACACCTGAATGGGCACGCCCTCCTTGGAGGTAAAGTGATATTGGCCCTGGACATTATTATGAGCGTCGCCAACCTCCTGGGCGCCGATGCCGTTCGTTATGTCATAGCTATAAGCAAAGTTGCCATGGCCGTCATCCTTATGCACCTCCTTCGCCTTGGCGTGCGCATCGTCATCCACGGCGGAGCTGACGGCAAACAGCAGGGCGACAATCAGGAAGAGCTGTCCGACAGGGGGCGTGGCAGTTAAGTAGAGGCGAGTACAGTTGTAAGAGTTGGACAGCCGCTGAGGTGTTTAATATACTTACATGTTTGTGCATGTTGATATTTGGGTTTCAATTGCTGCTCGAACTGCGCTTAGCCAAAGGCTTTTATAGCCCCAGCAAAATTGTTGTGCAAATCCGTTGATATATACGTAAATACATAAATATATATTAAGCTGATCTGTTTTATTAAAATTGAAATGTAATGAGCCGCATAAATTACAATTGCCTGCCCCGCTCCTTGTCCCATTTAACTGTATCACATTTCGTTTTCAGTTGAATTTTGAGTTCATTTTTATTTTTATTTTATTTAATTTTTTTTTTTTTTTTTTTTTTTTCGAGGGGTAAACGAGTTGCATCAAGACGAGTTTAATTAATATGTGGATGAAAGCCAGTGGCATCGGCTGTATAGGTCACACGTATGGGTCCCTCCTCGCCGGGCAGAAAGTATTCGCCTTGGACGCTGTTTACGTTGCCCTTGGCCGATGCCCTGATGCCATTATTCACCTCAATCTCGTGATTGTATTGGCCAGCGCCATCCAGATTCTGCTGATTGACGTGCTTAATCAGCACCGGCTCCAGCTCCTTCACATCGGCCAGGGTGAAGCTGAAGCTGGCGCACAGGAGCACCACCAGCAGGAGGAGAAATTTCTAGATATGCAAAGTCAGTCTCTTAACAGAAATCAAATCAATTCTCGTTACTCACATGATTCAACATGATTTTTGATATTTGTTTTCTTTTTTGCTCGAATAGCAGCAGGGCAGCGGCTTTTTATAGCCGCGCTCCGGTTTTCGGTTTCGGCCCAAACGAGTTTTAATTAATCGCTGTTAATGCTTTAATTAATTCAATGACCAATTCAATTAGATTTGCATGGATTGCTCTCGCTCTCCCTCATTCTCTCTCGCTCGCTCGTCTGGTTTTGAAGGGCTCGTCAAATAACAAATTGAAATTCAAATTTTAAATAAATCGAAAAAATACATGTGTGTATATATAAACAGAAACCAAATCAATTATTAAAGCAGTTAAACATGAACTCTATGTGGATGGATTCGGTGCTTTTTGTTCCTTTAGCTGCTCCTGCTGCTGCTGCTGCACCAAGGGCTTGACTCGAACGGTTAGTAGTTTGGCCAATCCTTGGCTCAGCTTTGGCTGCTTCAAAGCAGTCTTCACGCTGCTAATCGCCTTCTTCTTCTTCTCCGTATCCTTCTCCTTCTCGTTCGCGATCTCCTTTTCCTTTTCGCCGTCTACGACCGATGGATATAGATGAGCGACTTCTCTGTCTATTTTCGTCTCTATTTCACCATCCTCCTTGTTCACCGCCTGTTTGCTGTGTTTGTCGTAGAACTTTTCGTAGAATCGGGAGACTTCGTTTCGCACGGTCGTCTTGAGAGCATTCATGTCCCACGGCACGCCCATCTTGGATTTGATTTGATTGGATACATTGACATCGTCGCTGGTTGAGAAGAGCGTGCGGAACAGGTGGCCCAGGTCATTTGGCGTTTCCTCTCCATCAGCTGAGCTCCGAGCCACGCGTTCCACGTTCTTCTTGTCATCCTTCGAATCGTTCATGTCGTTCGACAATAGCATATCAAAGCCAATCTGAGGTCCCCTTAGGTACCCCCGATTCTTTAGATATACCAATGGCGACGTCCAAGTGCTTATGAGATCTTTGACAATCTCTTGAACAGAGTTTTTATAATCCAGCGTCTTTACATTGTCGTTCTTTGAATTTACAATGCCTTTGGGATCATCTTTGATTGCGGCCTGCAGTGTGAGACGTACGCTCATCAGCGATATCATTAGAATCAATAAGAAGGAGTTCATGACTACGCAATTTAGATTTTCATAGAAATGGTTTTTTATTTTTTTAAATTTGTTTTTATTTTAAATTTGATACTCGATTGTCCCATATTATCGAAACTGTCAAACGGTTATGCCAGCGACATTTCATGATTTGAATTTGACATATTTGTGCGCAAAGCATATGAGTTGCATTATAAAAGCAATTATTATAATAATAAAAAAAAATAGGACAAATTTATATACAAATAATTATGCAAATTCGAAAATATCAAATTCATCGCGATGTGCTTCAGAATCGATAGTTACACGACGCAGCTACTTGCGCCGCTTGTGTCAAACGGTTATGCTCATCGATAGCTAATCGGTGAACAGCTGTTGTTTTGCTGGAGACGAGATTTGTGACTCGAAAACGTAACAAAAATAACAATTTAATGTATTTGTTTCTCATTAACACACCTTTACCTACACTTTTAGAGCAACGGGCATAACAGCCAGGACGCAATGGTTATTACAAACAAAACAACACTGCCCGAAGAGGCAGAGCTTGATGTGCAGGAACTGAATCTGTCGTCGGCTGCACTGCGTGCTGGTTCTTTTCACTTGGGCAAACAATGCGAAGGAGTCAATAATGTGAGTATACTTCAGTTTTGAGGCAACTATTACATACTTAAAGCTAAGCCTAAATGCGTGTATTAGATGTGTTCACTTAGCTAATGTGTAAATGCTCCGGCTAAACGGCTCCCAGACTCAGTTATATAACCTAACCTCAAAAGCTGATGGGACAATTGTTTTTGTTTACGTTTTCTTTAATTTTGCTGTTCGCTCATTTTTCAGGAGTTCATGCTTTGTCGCCAAGAGCTGGATGATCCGCGCGCCTGCTTGGCCGAGGGACGCGCTGTCACCAGCTGCGCCTTAAACTTCTTTCGCAAGGTAAAGAAGAGCTGCCATGAGGAGTTCATGCAGTACGCCACTTGCCTGGACAAGAGCAGCGGCACCATGGCCTTCAGCCAGTAAGTAGCGATTTGTGATTGACTGATCATGGACACATGCTCACACTCGACTTTTTTTAGCTGCCGCAAGACTCAGGGTGTTTTCGATAAGTGTGTAAAGGACCATTTTGACTGGGACCGTCCTTCCTATGGCTACTTTGCGCGTGCCAAGGTGAGTCATCCTGATATAGCAATTCTAATATAATATTAATGGCATTTGCTTTCTTCTTTTTAGGTTATTCAAACGGAACGCAAGGCACCTGAGAAAGAGCCCATCAAATCATATCCCGATGCTACGCCCGGCCTGCCAGAGGATTATCCAACTCCACCAGCCAAATACGGTTCGCGCTTCTTCTGGCTGGAATAAACGTTGTGGCTTAGTCAAATTATTAGGGCGGGCCATTGGCCAAACTTGTAGTTTACAACATGCATAAAATCTTGTTTCCATTAGTAAGCCAACGCATTTTTGTTAATCAGCGAATTTGATTTGTGTAAACTAGTCTGCTCGTCTGGTGCAGCTTGGATTATCAAGGATTCAACAAGTATTTCCGTTGCAAACTTTTTAGTCTTTATATATGTAATAGAGGCAGTTTTATTTCAGACGATAGAAATGCTGTTTAAATCTTGTAGTTGGAGCGTCTATCATCGCCTTCGTTAATTCTAGATGATGATTAGAATGGCTATTCCATTCTAAACCAGTTTAATCCCGAATCAACTGAAAAGATCTTCGTTATTAATAATCAGTGAATTTAAAATTTATTTAGCATCAAACGTTTCCATCTCACTCATGGCTTCAAACTGTTTCATTCCTAAACATTTAATAGTTCTTATTTACACTAACAGAATCATCTCTAGTAACTAATCCGTATACCATTTGGTACGCTTGGGTTTCTTCACTTTGCCGTCTGTCACACCTCCGCCGCCTTCATTGCCGCTGATCATATTTTTGTATTTGTTGATCAGAGGTCGTAGCTCGTCCTTTTCCCTTTTCCGTCCTTGTTTAGGTCGATTGTTGGCCTTGCGTTCCGCCAAATGTGATTCTCGAATCTTTTTGTTCTTCTGTTTCCGTTTCTCGGTCTTCACGCGTTTCATATGCTCTTGCGCCTGCTCCACGATCTTCTTCTTGGAGCGCATGCGAAGGGAGGTGCCCGGCTTGGCAGCAGTGCCGACATAGTCGCCCTCCACATCGCTGACCTTTTTCTGTTTTTCCTGCTGTTTGCCCTCTGCCTTGGCTGCTCGACTCGCCTCCAGTTTCTTGATGTGTTTCTGCAGTTTCGCCTTGTTATCGTCCTGTGGCCCTGTGATCTTTGGAGTTGGCTTTGCACCCTTCCGCTTGAGCGCCCGCTGCTCCTTTCGCTGTTCCAGCTTCGATTTGTATGTAGGATTATTTAGCTTGGACCGCTCAGTGCGTTTCTCCTTGATCTTGTGGACCGCTCGATCCTCAATGCTAAACGCGACAATGGGACGCTGCAAGATATGGACAAGGTTGAATAAATCTCAGGGAGTGCAACAGAAAGAGAGAGAGAGAGAGAGAGATTTACTTACGTGTTGCGTGCCAAAGATTTTGGGGTTGTTATTTAGTTTACGTAGCGCAGCCAGAGCTCGCTGATGGGTGTCGAAGGATAGGAAGCCGAAGCCCTTGGATTTGCCATTTGGATGCTCTGGCGTAATCTTATGGTCACGCATCACACGGCACTCGTGTGGACGAAACCCCGTATAGGTGAGAGCCATCTGCTTGAGCTTCTCGTTGTCATAGTTCAGGGGCAGATTGTGTATGGATAGGCGATTACGTGAAACGAAGCTGGAAGCAATTAAAGTAATTAAAGAATTTTGACAATTATATTGCATTTTTATAGCCTACCGATTCAAGTTCTTGAGCACCTGCGTCTTAACCTGCTCCAGTTCGTGTCGCTTGGCCATGTCGGAGGCGGAAACTCCTTCGGCTGCCTTTGAATTGGCCATGATCAGACCCTCTCTGGCTAGATAGAGATTACGCGAATCCTTGGTCTCCTCTTTAGAGCTTTCGGCTTTTTTGGCTTTAATTTCATCACGACTTAGCGCCGGATGTGGATCCAGCACCTCATCCATTAACTTAAACTCGGTGCCAGCCTGCAGACAGAGATCGGCCGACTCCTTGGCCTTGAATTTGACAAAGGCTGTGCCTTTGGAATGGCCGGAAACTGCTTGCCGATTAATGATTGCATACTGCACTACACCGAATTTGCGGCACACTTTACGCAAATCCCCATCTTCGGCGTCAAAGGGCACGTTCTTGATGAAGACTGTGCAGCCTTCTTGCACATCATTGGAAATGGTTTTCTCCCGCTTCACGTGATCCAGTTTTGATTTCAAGTCCTTTTTGTCTTTCTTTTCATCTTCATCATCATCATCAGCATTGCCTTCATCATCATTGCTATCATCGTCATCATCATCATCATTGTCATCATCATCACTGCCATCATCATGATCGGAATCTTCTTCGCCCTCGTTCTCACTCAGGTCTTCATCCTCATCTTCGTCGGCTTTCTCCGAGACCTTTTTACCCACAGTCTCAGTTCCATTTACATTTTCATTCTCTTCCTTCACCTCCAACTTGGGTTTCTTATCCTCGGGTTCATCTTTCTGGTGCTTGGCTGCATATTCATCCTTGCCAATGGCCCAATCGACGAAAATCTTACGTCCCAGCAGTTCCTTTCCATTGGATTTCAGTATAGCCTTGGTTGCCTGATTGACGGTCTCATATTGCACAAATGCGCAGCCAACTAGTTTTCCATCACCACGTTTTAGGATGTGTACATCTTCCAGAGTGCCCCATTGTCCGAAATATTCGCGCAGCGTTTCGTCCGTTGATTTGTAGCTGATGTTGCGCACAATGAGGCGAGCTCGCTTCTTTTGCCTGCGCTCCTTTTCTTCCTTTAAGCGTTGCGTGTTGAATGGGTTACGTCGCTTCGCTGGCTTTTTTTCATTCACATTATCGTTGGACTCCGGTTCCGTATCCAGCAGAGGTTTCATTTTCTTGAGCTCCATTTGCCGCATGTAAACATTCGCATTGCACGTGGAGTTCAAGCGTTTACTTATCGATGTTTGGATATATCGATAGCGGCGATACTCCCACTATCGCTAAATACCTGTTGCTTCAAGGGTGGCAGCGCCACGCATTTGTTTACGATTTGCAATAAACAAAACAAATTTCGAAATTTATTGTTTAATGAACACTTTTTTAAACAATTAAACATTAAGGTTCTTTCTCCTTAAATAGCTCATGAAATTCTGATGGGGTCTTAAAGTAATCAATCATTAGCATCGATGAACGGTGGCCCAGCTTAAATATAATGTGACTCCAAGGATTTAAGACACTTTTATACTCTTCTATTTGGCCGCGCTGAAAATAATGCTTGACTATGCCAACAGGCCATTGTGAACCATAGACGGCAACATATCTGTAATAAGATTAAGTAATTATATAAAAAAATAATAACTTATCTAATACTTACTTATCGCCGGTCTTGTAAATTCTCAGTGGGTATTTGAATACGAAAATTCTTATGGCCATGTTAATTAACACAAAGCCTACTGCAAAGAAATAAAAATCCGCTTCAGTCGACGCCAGGACTCCAACGTCAATTTTCTGCACAGCATTCGAAAAGTTCATTGATGTTGTGGCCAGGTTATAGGCGGCTACTAAGGAAATAAGGGAGACTGTAAGAGTCGAAACATTCTTTGCCCAGGTCACATATTTCTCCAAGGGTGCACGATAGATGAGTTGATAATTTGCCGGTATATTATCACCCTTTAAGAGATTGCGCTCCACATCTGCGGAGCTTGTGTTCCGCCACTTGCAGCGTAATGCACTTGTGCTGAGATAAAAGATACACAATTTAGTTATTTATTTATTATTTAACAAAGTTAATATCTACCAGATATTCCTATTGGTAAGCACAGTTGTATTTAATCTTAAATGAATGCATTTAATGCTATTTCGCAAAAGTGCTGCACACATTTTGTTTGTTATGTTAGCTGCTTATGTTTCTAGCCAAGTATGCTGATCAGATAAGCCGTGAGCCAAGCCGAAGCCAATTTAAGGAATAGCAAAAACGCATAATTTTGTTGCATATAACCATTGGATTGTATAACAATATGTATAGTACTTTTACCTATATTAATTAATATATATATATATATACATATATTCGTTCATTGTATTTTCACGGTAGGACGGCTTGTTAAAATATTGTTGTGTTTTTTTTTTTCGTGTAAATTCTATGAGCTCGATACTCTCCTCAACAGATGTCAGTATTTTTGTGTGAGCGCAGTGGGCCGTGCGTTTACTGAAATCAGCTGAGCGTTTGGTGTTGCCACTTAGTCGGCAACACAACACAGCAACATATTTTGTTAAGGAGCTGATATTTTGTTAAAAAAGTGATTTTTACGCAATAGTTTTATACTGCACAATTCTGGAATATATAGCGTATTTCGTTGATGATATGGATTTAAAACGTTTGGCATGTAAAACGGGCTTGGGCGATGGCCCAGATGCCAAGCGCACATCAGCTGTAGATGGAGATGAAGATCTTCTGCAGCTGGATCAGGAATCAGGTTTAGATAAAGAAACGAGCGATGCACAGCCAGAATGCTTACAACTAGAAGCTACCAAGGAAACAGATTGTGATAGCCTTAAAGCTGATCACGAGAATCTATCGCCCAGCAATCATGTGGCGCCATACACTGGCAACGGATGCGCCCCTTCACTAGAGTCATTTATGTTCCAACAGACCCCGGCTGGCAGCCAACTCTGCTCCTGGATGTCCAATACTGAGTCCAAGACCTCGGCCAACGATGGGCAAGCTCTATTTGAATCGGACAAGGACTCCAAATCGAATACCCAGAGTAAGCAAAAAAGAAAAATTAATAATACAATTAGTTACATTAGCATCTTTATATCGGGGCGACTCCCAACTTTAGCTGCCAAGTTAAATCGCAAGGCACTCACCAATTTACGTCGTCAGAATGCATTGCGTGCTCTTGAGTTGGAGCGCGAACTGGCCACAAAGACACCACAGGCCCCAACACTGCTTGTACGCTTTCCAGATCCAAAAATAAGCGTTGCTTCGGTCAGTGAATTTTCGGATAGCATTCGTGATGTGGTCTTTCCCACAAACGTATCGCAGCGTTACTGTTTGGTGCACTTGAAGGCTGGCGCAAATGTCGAACGTACCATAGAGGAGCTAAAGCAGGTGCGCTTCGGTCATGGCCGTTTGCACGCCGAGCTGAAGACATTCACCGATGAGGAGCAGGCTGAATGCATTGATCCTTGCTCACTGTATGTGAGCAATATACCATTCAATATGAATGCCGCCGACATTAAGGTGTTTGTGAACTCCATGCGCGTTGATATTGGCGTTATGAAACGCCAGAAGCGCGCACGTTATGCATTTGTACGCTATGCCAATGCCGAGATGGCCATGGATGCTTTCAGGGATCTGGTGCGCCGCACTCTCAACAATCGCGTCTTGACCGTGCGCTATCGTCGCCTACGCAAACGCTTAACACATCCAACAGCGGCCTCGATGTGCGCCATCTCCAATCTGACCATTGATACGATTGCCACCGACGATGATGGCGTTGAATGTCGCGTGATTTCCCCACCACCGGTGGAGTCGATTACCATTCTGGACAGCGATGACGAGGGTCAGCATTGCGAATCGCATAGCGTTGTTAGCCTAAGCAGCAGCATTCCACACAAGAAGCGTGAGAGCAAGATGACCGCCCAGGAGAAGGAGATACAACGTCTCAAATTGCAGGTGGCCGAGCATGGGGCTATCATAAGGAGCCTACAGAAGAGGGAGGGCAGTATTTGTAAGATTCAATTGCAACCCGAATTGATGATCATTAACTAATTGCCTGTTTCGACTCCTCTAGCCAATATTATAGCTAAAATTGAGCCACAATCTGATCTGACCACAGACAAGTCTTCTATGATGCAGCGTTCACTGTCGCCGTGTTCTAGCTACGATATCAAAATGGAAAATGATTATTTAGGTATTGCTCAGAGTACGCCCGAGCCGGAGCAGGATTTCTTGCTAGATGCCATACCGAACTCGCCCTATCGTGGCACAACCTGCCCAATCGACGGCATGGAGGATCCCATCAAATGTAAACCAATCAATATTGATTAGGATTATTAAGTCACTCGTTATGCTCATCCTTATCCTTACTTAGCATCCGATTGTTTTGGCTGGTTGATTTCAGGTCTCGGACGTCGCAAGAGCACAAAATCTAGTGCGCAGCAGCAGCAACAGCAACAACCAAACAACAGTAATATTCAGAACAGCAACAGCAACAGCAACAACAACAGCAACAACAACAGCAACAACAACAGCAACAACAAAGAGAACAAAAACAAGAAAATTCCAAAAGTTGCCAACTTGGAGGTGCTTAATGCGCAAGTCGAAGCCGATTTGGATACATAGATAGGATAGGATTTATGTAAAATCTACCAAATTGTAGCACCTCAAAATTATTTGCGTATAGGACTTTATAATTTTCAATTTTATTATCAGCTTCATACATATTCCTGATATGTAAATATGTCTGCTTTTTGTGTACCCCAGTAGTAGTAGTAGAAGTATTAGTAGTCGTCGTCGTCCCAGTAGTAAGTGAAGAAATAGGGGTTTTTTTTTACCGAGTAGTAGTGTTTTAACATTCATATTTATTTGTATTTTTTTCTTGTTTTTCGATCACTTTTGCAAAATGTACAATTCTATGAAATTGTAACACACAATATAAGTAAATTTAATAATAATAATATTTCGGTTTTAAATGTTAAACCCGAACAAATATCGCTTAGATTTTTCTTACAAACGAAACACTTACACTTATACATACATATACTATATAATGTTTTTATACTTCATTATTATTTTTTGATTCACATACGATCTTAAGTGCTTTAGTTTCTATAGAATTTAATTGTTACATCCAAAAAATTTCGAAAAAAAATCGAAAATCTCTCAGTTTGAAACTGTAACAATTCGAATTTTAACTAAAATAAGTTGCTTGATCGTTAAGAATTTTGTTTCTTTTTTCATTTTTTCATATGGCTCGCTATAGTTAATATCGCAAATTGTCATCTTTAAGTTACATAATATACTCGTTGTATGGTCTATACATATTTATATAGACTTATGATATGATCCTGATCTCCTGTTTTGCTCTTTTTTGGAATGTTAACTATTTAAGAATTAATTTAAATTACATTTAATGCTGATTTATATTAATTTTTCTTTTCCATTTTGTATTTACAAAACAACGATTTTAAGGCACCTGTTTTACATGATATTCATATATACTTACTTACATATATATGTATCTATATGATGTAGTTTGATTCTTGTAATTTGAATTGACAAATTTAATATTTTTTTGGTAGCCCGCAAAAAACTGTATTTGTGAAATTTTGAAAACGACTAAAAAAAAACAAATATTTTTTATAATATCTTTTATAGTTTTATGTAATATTCCCCGCTAGGCTCAAATCGATTTTAGCTAATTATAAATTTGGATAGGCAGCAGAGCAGGAAGGTGCTGAACAGCACGCTGGCAGCAGAATTACTTGTTAGCTGATAGGACCTTGCACCGGAACCGGTGCGTTCCGACATTTCCGGTTCGAAGGGTTCGTCATTGGACTGGTTATCACCGACAGCTGTTGTTTTCGAAAGCAAATGAAAAGTTCAAATTAGTACATATTCACAAAAACATTTCAGAGAGTTCTCATTATTATATATTTAGGAACTAGGCATGTATAACTAAGCTAAGTTCCATTATGGTGCACGACTTTTGGACAAAACTTTATAAAGATTATTGGGTGTATATATGAAAAGATTTTAAAAATAAATTTTAAATAATTGTATATTAATTGCCAAAAATGATTAAGACTTATACTAAGCTAACTGAAGAAAAATTAAAAAATAAATTAAATAATTTACGTAATTAATGCAACATACTGTTCCACTCTGTGCGCAAATGTTTTAAAATGTTGAATTCATAAGCGAATTCCTGGCGTTTTTTCTGGGCGTTTTGCAATGGCGGCGGCTGCTTTTAGTTCTGGGCGTGGCATTTGTGTGTGATAGTTTTTATTGATTTAAATACTTTGTTTTTGTTTCTTTTTTTTTTTTACACAGAGATCACTCAAGCAAGCATATTTATATGGACGTAATACAACTTAAGGCACGCTTTTATATATATATGTAATATGTACAAATATATATATATTTATGATAATACAGTTATTTAGTTGTGTTGAAAACGAAACTCTGAAGGAACTGGAACAAGTGCGCGCGTTCTTTAAAAGTATCGATTCGTTAGGCTCCACATCCAGCCGGGCAGCAGACCCATGCCCGGGCTAAAGCCCGTATTCGTATTCGTATTTGGAATCTGGGGTACTGCATGATGGCAGTACGTTTTGGATGAAATTGATAAATTGGATTGCACGCCCAACCGTAATGAAATGAGCAAATGCATATGAAATAAAGAAAAATTTATAAAAAACAAATAGAAGAGATAATCGCATAAATTACAATTTGAGCAATTCAATTTGTGTGCGTCTTAGCGGGCGTGCGTGCGCAAGCGTACGTGTTGTCTGTGACGTAACTACAATAAATCTACATACATACGATATATTTGTTCTACGTATGATTGCGTATGCGATTGCGACTGCGTTTGCAATACTTTGTTTAGCAAGCGATAGCGATGGCGATAACTAATAATCAGTTCGATCAACTAGCATAGAGTTACAAGTACTAAGAGTGAATACACAAATAGCTACAATTAATAAAGCTTAATTACACGCGTTGATAGAAGCATACACACACACACACAGGCAGACAGAGTGAGTTATTGGGATGCGGGGCTGGGTATCAATTAATTGCTATCATACACAATTACGAGTGGGAGCATAGTTACATAGAGGGAGAGAAGCAACAAGCAGCAGTAGGCGGCTTGTTAAACCTAGCGCGCATTAAGTTTCTTTTACATTCGATCTTCTCTTCCTTCTTGCTGGCTGATTGTRATTGTGTGAGTGTGTGTGTGTGCGTGTGTAATTGAAAGCAAAAGCAACAAGTGCATCAGTCATTGGCTTCGTAGCCTTTAGCTATGCGTGCATTACATTGTTTTTGCTTTTGCTATGTTCTCTCATTGTATACATGTGTGAGTGGAGCTGGAAGTAAAAGCAACAAGTAGCAGCGCAGCAGCAGCAGCCGGTGACTCGGCTCCAGCCTTTCACTGTGCATGCATTAGTTTCTTTTTACTTTTGCAATGCTCTCGCTCTCTTTCTTATTGTCTCTGATGTGTGAGTGTGTTGGAGTAAAGTAACATCAGCACCATCAGCTGATGCCATGGTAAGCATATGCGCTCATTGCTTTACTTGCTCTACTCTTGTTGTGTAATTGGATTTGTGCGCGTGTGTGGGTGTGTAGCTAGCAGAAAGAAGAAAAACAATCGACGGCAGTCGTACCAGCAGCAGCCGGCGAATTGGTAAGCTTTGTTTTTGTTTTTGCTTTCGCTATGTCTTTGTTCTTTTTCTTCTCATTGTCTGATTGGATGTGTGTGCGTGTGTGTGTGCTTTGGCGTTCGTTATTGCTGTTATTTTCGTTTTATTAGTTTTTGCTTTTCATTTGTGTTGTGTTGCAGTTGTTGTTGCTGCTGTTGTTCTTGTTGCTGTTGTATTTGTTGTTAATTGTTCTGTTTCGTTTTTATCCGCGTCTCTTAAAGCCTGCAAGAAATATATGTATGTACATACATGTAGACATGTACGTACAAATGGATGACATACAGTTGAAGTTCACAGCTCGATTTATGTAAATTGAACGGGTTATGGGCAGCAGGCACGTGCATGCATGTGTTAAGTATTCAAATTGGCCGACCGACTGTCAGCAATCGTGCAATCTGGGTCAAAACATAACGGGAGTGGACCACATACATACATTAGGTGGATAACATGTGAGCAAATGAGTGTTTAAGTGGGAGTGTGTATGTGGGAGTGTGCGTGTATACATATGTGTGTGTTTGTGGGACTCATGCTTGTCTTGTGGATTTAGTATTATTAATAAAGCATGCAATTAAAAAAAGATTTGTGTGAGCTCAGTAGAAGAGCAATCCAAAACATAAAGGAAGCCTTTAGCCAATTGAATTTTGTGCCACAGGTGTCCAAAAATGGATTTCGAATCGAACATTGTACGCATAAAGTGTTGAAGAATGCCATAATAACTACAGGGTATACATACATCGATATTTTTAGTTGGGTTGGGTCACTTATGTAACTAATATTAATATTACCATAGTACTACAGCAAATAGAATAATAGATACTTAGTGGTTGGGTGTGTAGGGGGTGTACGTACTAAGGTTTGCAAAAACTACACTTTGTGTGGATTTACTACATCGTAGATAAATAGTTGAGAGGGGTTTCATTGTGGTGTTTGACAAATAGTGTTGTAAAAGTGTGCATAGTGTTGTAAAGTGTTGCATAGTTGTTGATTAGATAGCTTAGTAACTTTTGGATGCAGTCTTTTATAGTTAGATTAGCTTATTAGTAAAGCGCATGCAAAGTTTCGGGTGCATGTGGATTCTTAATATTTAGGTAGATTGATTGTAAAGGTTTATTGCCTGGTACCGCCCCAAATGGGAAGCGGGGTGGAAGTTAGTGAGACCGACTGACCAGTAGTTTGTTTTATTGAATTTCTTAATTGTTTACTCTTTTCTTTTTTGTACACTGTAAGCAAGATGGGATTATAATATTATTATTTTCAATTTTAGACCCTAGTATAATTTTAAAATTTTCTTGGTTCATTTCTTGATTTGTTTATATATTTTTTTACATGGTATGCTAAATTCAGTTGGTTAGGAAGCTATAAATTAAGATTAGAATAGTTTTTAATAGGGAGACCAAGCCGTTTAAATAAATACACATGTTAGAAATTTTTTCACGAAACGTTAAAAACAAAAATAAAAAATAATAAAAAATATAGATTCCTTGAACCAAAAATAAACAAAATCATAATAAAAATAAAAATATTAAAAAATAAAACTGGGAATTAGTAGCACAAACCAAACAAAACTTTGTTATGAATATAAAAGCTTGGTTAAAATTAGTTGGGAAAGACTTGATTAAGATTATTAATAATGATAGAAACCGCTATAGAACTGAATGATTGTTAGGAGGTGTACGAGTGTACAAGGTGTTGCAAGGATAGTGTAGCCTAAAGCTGATTCAGTTCCGAGTACACTGAAACAAACTAAAGTAAAACACCACAAAATAGAAAAAAAAAATCATAAATCATATTTACAACAAAATGATATAGTATACAAGATCTACAAGTACTAGGAGAAGAAATTGGACATACACAATACGAGAATTAGTTTTCAATATAAAATAATAATGTATTTTGTTCTTTCTTTTTTTAAGGATTTCTTTTGTTTTTTTTTTTTTTCATAGTTATTTGTTGTTCAATGACAAACACATTGACTTCAATTATAGAATTGACTACAGTAGGAGTACGGTACATACATACATATATAAACTTAATTAAACATACCATATTTTTATATAAAATTCATTTATCTCTATCTCTCCATATAATACGAGAGACTTGCAAGAATTTCTTTTCTGTATTTCGTTAAGGAGCTTTAAACAATTCTTGGCTGGTAAAAAGTAACAACTCATATCATGTTTATGAGATCTTTTTGACTTATGTTTCGATAATTCTATATCTTTTTTTTTTTTTCTTTTTGTTTACAGTTTCAATTACTATGGAATCATATGCTTGGTTTCAAACAAAACTACCGCTGAGTCGATCCCACTCACCTGCGTCCAGGTCACTACTATCACCATTACCATCATTGGCATTCAGCTGTGATCGCTGCTCAGAGTCAGCAACGTCTTCTTCAACAATATTACCTGTCGACGAGGGCGTATTCTTGCAGCCGAACCACCAGTGCGCCGTGGGCCTTGGGAAAGGCGGCGTTGCCGTATCCACCTGTTCAAAAGAGATCGGTAAGTTGGCATCAGTCAGAATTACTATGGCATTAGATTATTAGGCATTTCTATGTTAGGAAACTCTTAGATTACTATTAGATTATATTCTGTAGACTGTAAAAATTCTTAGCGAAGTTCAACTTACCGCGAAGCGTGCGTCGTGGAAGCGATAGTACTTGTCGCCCTTGAAGAAGTACGTGTAGCCATTTGTGTATTTGAGCGCTGCATCCAGATTGTTTGGCACGCCCTCCCAGTTGGAGATGGGCTTAGGGTAGCTGGCCTTAACGGGTGGTCGTTTAGCTGGATCGAATCGCCAGAACTTGCTGCCCTTGAAGAAGTAGATCTTGCCGTTGCCACCCCAGACCATAGCCGCATCCAAATGATCGGGAATGCCAGTGAAGCCTTCGCTAATCTCCTTGGGATATGCGCCATCCATTTGGCTGCCCTGGTAGCGCCAGTACTGAGTACCCTTGAAGAAGTAGGTCTTGCCATT